TTGTTCCTAGATCTTTGAAGGGTATTCGAGATAATTTTGTCATCGTTGCAACTGAGGATGAATTTGAAGGATTTGCACTTGTAAAATCTTCACTAGATGACTCTTCTTGACGTTGTTGAAAGATAATGTTGAAAGATGCATACTGCATGCAACTTGGACAATCGACATTAGCTTCTAGCCAATGTTCGTATTCTTTCCGAAATCTATCACTATTTCAACCGGTTGTCTTTCACCTCCGTTCAGCAGAGAGTGTGAATCTCCGACATAATTCTCTGAGAGTAACAATGTCTTTTTCAGAAAGCCTAATGTCTAGTTGAGTTAGCACTTCACTAAGCAATACTTCATGATTCAAAAGTCAGAATACTTCATAATCATATGAAGTATTCTGACTTTTCAGTTCAATCACTGATGTTCGCAATTGAGAATTTCGGAAGAAACTGACCTAATTAATATGTTTTTGGCCTATTTATAACCATTTACTAATGATCTATTAATGCCACTTTATAACAAGGTGTATTAGTAATTAGCTTTTTGTGAACTACTGCTAATTAAGAGATTATTAATTACCTACAAAATCTCGTATCCATTGTGTCCAGCTTTTGTTAACAATTGAGTTCTTAAAAGATCTGATTACGACACATTAGTAGTACGAGCAAACACTAATGGTTTTATTATTGGTTTTTGTTTAGTTCTTAGAAGACATCAGTAGAATCAAAGATTTTGATTACCATCGGATGAGGGGTGGTTAGATGTTGTAATAAACCATTTTTCTGACATATTTTAAGCAAAAAAACCGTATCAGTTATCTTTCTGCACTTTAAACAAGTTTGTAAAATAAGATTTTTTTATATTTGACGATTTAAAGAAAAAAAAGGGCAGTATTTCCCGTAATTTGAAGTATGTCAAAAAATAACAAATAATTAGTACTATAACCTCATAGCGCCGTGTTGTGGCGGTTAAGAATATCCACTACCCCATATCTTCCCGTGGGTGTCGTAAAAGGCGACAAGGGTAAACAGGCAGGAGATGGACAGCAGCGTCTTCCAGATAACAACAAACTTACAATAAAAAAAAAACTGCGGTTGCCAACCCGCTCAGCAAGCGTGACAACTATGGCAAATACCCCTCTATGAATGACAGTAACAAAGAAACGGCCCCCAGTCCCCGGCGGCCTCGCTATTCCTGGCTACGGTGGCGACCATGGTAACGGCGGGGCAGGGGGTGCTAAGAATCTCCGGTAGAGGTTCGGTTGCCAACTAAGACGACTCGACCTGGCAACATACAACGCACGCACCCTGAGGACTGACGAGAAGATCGTGGAGCTGGAAGAAGAGATAGACAAGTTGCGCTGGCATATTATAGGATTATCCGAAGTCCGAAGAGAGGGGGAGGACACGGTAATCCTCGAATCCGGCAACTTGCTCTATCACCGACCATCCGTCCCAAGGAGGTGTCGGATTTATCGTCCACAAGTCTCTCGTTAACAAAGTTTTAAAGATTGAGAGTGTGTCGACAAGAGTTGTGTACCTTATACTCAGAATCACCAAATGGTATTCGCTGAAGGTCATACAGGTTTACGCACCAACCTCGGCACATCCCGATGAGGAGGTGGAGGAAATGTATGAGGATATCTCTAGAGCCATGCATTCCTCCAAATATACGGTGTTAATGGGAGATTTCAATGCAAAACTAGGCACATGAGAGAACGGTGAGCTGAAAGTAGGGAAATTTGAAATAGGGCAACGGTACCCAAGGGGCCAGCAGCTGGCCGACTTCATGGACAAAGAGGGACTCTTTATGATGAACCCTTTCTTCCAGAAGCAGCCCCACAGGAAGTGGACCTGGTCGAGCCCCGACGGTTCCACAAAAAATGAAATTAACTTCATTATAGCGACAAGACGACAACTGTTCAGTGATGTCTCCGTGATCACGAGGGTTAAAACTGGTAGCGATCACCGAATGGTTAGAGGCACACTGAACCTAAACGTTAAGTTGGAGAGGTCTCGTCTGATGAAGTCAACACTCCGTACCCCTCGTGCTCTGTTCCAACGTCCCGAAACCTTTCAGCTCGAGTTACAAAACCGTTTTCAGTGCCTAGAAGACTGCAATGAAGTGGACGATATGAATGACAAGTTCGTGGAAACTGTCCATGCGGTCGGAGCTAAGTTTTGCAAGACCCGCCGCAGAAGAACACAAAAACTCTCCGATCACACTCTCAATCTCATGGCTGTTAGACGGGAGATGAAGCTACATTCTTCAACAAATTTGACAGCATACAGGCAACGGAACAGACAGATCTCCAAATGCATGCGGCGGGACTTACGCAACTTAAATACAACTGGTATCTCGTATCTCGATCGAGCGTAACCAAGGCTCCAAAGTATTTGCCTGAGATCTGTCTGCCAGAAAGAGCCAACTGTCGAAGCTGAAGACCGAGTGTGGCAACATCGTTTCCGGGGCACCTGAGATTTTGAGTGAGAGGTTCTATGGGCAACTTTACCCGTCATCGTCGGAGCCACACGCAAGTGTGAGTAACGATCCAAGAGCGAGTCTTATCCGACACTATTCAGAAGACATCCCGGACGTCAGTATGAGCGAGATTAGAATGGCTCTCCAGCACCTTAAAAACGGCAAGGCCACAGGCGAGGATGGAATTACAGCGGAGCTTCTGAAAGCGAGTGGAAGACCGATACTTGAAGTCCTTCAGAAGCTCTTTAATTCCGTCCTCCATGGTGGCATTGGAGGCATGGAGCAGAAGTGCGGTGGTCTTGTTCTTCAAGAAAGGTGACAACGCTCTCTTGAAGAACTACAGACCGATTTCCCTTCTGAGCCGCGTCGACGTGCTGTTTTCGAGAGTCATTACGAATCGTCTCGCGCGCCGACTTGACGACTTCCAGCCTCCCGAACAAGCCGGTTTCCGAAAGGGCTTTAGCACCATAAACCACATACATACCCTTCGGAAAATTATACAGAAGTCCGAAGAGTACAATTTGCCACTATGTCTGGCGTATGTGGACTATGAAAAAGCCTTTGATTCCGTCGAAATTTGGGCGGTGCTGCAGTCCCTTCAGCGGTGCCAAGTTGACTGTCAGTACATCGAAGTGCTGAAATGTTTGTACAGTAGAGCTACGATGGCTATCCGAGTACAGAACCAGAGTATGAAACCTATCCACTTGCAGAGAGGTGTAAGACAGGGTGACGTTATATCCCCGAAACTCTTCACCGCTGCATTGGAAGACGTTTTCAAGCTTCTGGACTGGAAAGGATACGGTATTAACATCAATGGTGAGTACATCACTCACCTTCGATTTGCCGACGATATAGTTCTTATGGCAGAATCGCTGGAGGACCTAAGCACCATGCTCAATGACCTCAATAGTGTCTCCCAACGAATAGGTCTTAGGATGAACATTGACAAAACAAAGATCATGTTTAATGTCCATGTCACACATATGCCTGTAGTAGTTGGGAGCACTAAGATCAAAGTTGTTGACGAGTATGTTTACCTGGGACAAATAGTCCGACTAGGTAAGTCCAACTTCGACCGAGAGGTCAATCGACGGATTCAACTCGGCTGCGTAGCGTTCGGGAAACTACGACACATTTTCTCGTCAGACATACCTCAAAACCTTAAAACGAAATTGCACAACCAGTGCGTGTTGCCAGTGATGACTTACGGATCTGAGACGTGGTCCTTCACTGCTGGCCGTATGAGGAAGCTCAAGGTCGCTCGGCGAGCTATGGAGAGGACTATGCTCGGGGTTTCTCTGCGTGATAAACTTAGAAATGAGTATATCCGCAGTAGAACCAGAGTAACCGACATAGCCCAACGGATTAGTAAGCTGAAGTGGCAATGGGCCGGCCATATAGCTCGAAGAACCGACAACCGATGGGGAAGAAAGGTTCTCGAGAGCCTCGTACCGGTTGACGAAGTGTAGGGCGACCCCCCACGAGATGGAGTGATGACCTGGTAAGACATGCGGGAAGTCGATGGATACAGGTGGCTCAGGACCGTGCTTTGTGGCATTCCTTGGGGGAGGCCTATGTTCAGCAGTGGACTTATGAAAGGCTGTAATGATGATGATGATGAATGATGAACGTCATATAAGGATATAACGCGCAATTTTGCGTTTCCGGGGTTATACTTATTTTTTGATTCTGCTCCATACATTTATTTCATTTTTTTCATAAAAAAAATTATAAGTTCTCAGTTTTTAAGCCAAATTACTTCGTGTGATATTTTTGACAATAGTAATACTAAACAGAAGCCATCTCAAGCTTAAAAACGACACTTAAAAGTTAAAAGCTCTATGTTTTCGAAACGCGATTTTCAATCTAGTGTGCGCTGTGGTGCGGTACCATTCTCCGGAAATGAAACTTATGTATTGACTAAATTGCCATTGTATTTTAACTCCTATTTATTTTAAATAATAAATGTATTCCTGTGTCAATTGGTTAGGGATGTTTTAATTTTTGTCAATATCTACCTAGTATCATTGTACCTTGACTCGACTACCTAGCGCCGAGACAAAATACTAAACCTGTAAGTGCGCCGCGAACAGAAAAAGTTTGGGAACCCCTGCACTACATAATAGCATAACCTGTTTGTATGTAGGAGTATGGATGTATAAAATGTTATTCTTCTTTATAGAATAAGGGCACAAACGAGCACACAGTCCACCTGGTGGTAAGCGGATGCTGTGGCAGATAGACATATATATATTTCCTCGATTAAGAATCAAAAAGCAGAATCGTTGTCATCCCAGAGGACTAAGATGGAATGCCTCGTTTCCAGTAAAAAGGTTCACCGGTTCTCTGCACTCACCATACGAAACACAGCAGTGTTAAGTTTCTATTTAACACGGGTATATTGTGAGAGCGTGGTCCTACCTCGGTTGAGCTGACCCATTCGTGCTAAAACCATATAGTGTTAGATTTTTTTTTAAATTCAGCTTCGATTTGAAACACGATTTGAAAACATAAATTTAAAAAAAACTCACGTGGTATTAAGTCCAGGATCAATATTGTTTGAGTTGATATACATCGTAGCCATGTCAGCAACGATCCGACGGAATTCCTCCTCGATATTCCCTTGAAGGAAGTTTTCGAGGGTCATGCCTCCAAGGTTGAGGGTGATGGTAGAATGTGGCGGTACGCGAACTGGTTCCGGTGTGGGTTGTGGTTCTGGCTCAGAAGGTATGTGTCCTGTAACGAATTGAATAGGTAGAATTGCACTAGATCTAATATCTCTCATATATATACAAATAAAATTGAAGTGTCTGTTTGTAATGTCAAAATTACAGATTTTTACTAAATGCATATGAAAATATGTACGGTACTAATAACAAAAATATAATTTTTAAAGTTTTTGTCTTCTGTCTGTCTGTCCGTCTGTCTGTCTGTTTGTTCCGGCTAATTTCCGAAACGACTGATTTTGACGTGATTTCCACTGCCAGATAGCTAATGTCACAAGGAGTAACTTAGGCTACTTTTATTTTAGAAAAAGAATTAGGGTTCCGCGCAAAAAAATTAAAGCCCCAAATAACACGCGGGCGAAGTCGCGGAGAACAGCTAGTAGAGTATAAAACAAAGTCGCTTCCTCCTTCTGTACGCTAAGATCTTTTAAACTACGCAACGGATTTTGATGCGGTTTCATCAATAGACAGAATGATTCAATAGGAAGGTTTATATTTATAACTAGCTGTGCGCGCGGCGTAGCTCGCGAATATAGGTTTTACTTAAAGAATTTGACGTTTAGGGTAAGAGAATATTAAACGATTTATATCATTACTGTATGAATAAGTGGTAACAAAATAAATCGATATGCTCAAAGTTCTAAGTCGTTTATGATAGTGCTTCTGTGTAAACGACGATAGAAGTAGACTTAGCCGGGGCGTACAGAAAAAGATTACGGGGACTGCTAACGCGAGAAAAAGCAACATAGAGCTGGCCATGTGCAAAACAATCAGTACTGACGCGTAAAGTTTGACCTTGCGCTTTATTTACGATCGTCGCATAACACACGCTGAGTGGGAAACACACTTAAAATAGGGATGTTAGATGATCATCAATGTTAAAAATTAAAACTTCGATGTTTTAACATCGATGTTGACATATGTCAAACATCGAAACATCGACGTCAATGAACCCATAATCGATAATTGGGAACTTGCAAACAATGAGAACTCGCGAAATCAATATCAACTAAATCTTGCATCTGCTCTGAACATCGTTAATCTAAAAACATGTCAGTATGGTGAGTCAAACTTAATTGTCAAGTGTCTCCTGTAATGTCACAATGGTCACTGCTTTCGCTTTATTTTGTAGTGTCGTTGTCGGTTGTCGCATAATAACTATTCTACATAAATTGATATTCAAGTTAATTGTTACTTTTCCCTTGCTGTGTATACCCACATAATTTTAAAACAATGTGTAAGTATCTACACATATACAAAAACCATCGATAATGGTCAACATCGATGTTTTGAGTAGCCTAAACATCGAACATCGATGTTGAGCTAGCGATGCCAACATCGATGTTATTATCCCTATCTTAAAACTGAAGCCTGAGCCGTGGTAGCTCAGATGGTTAGCGCTCGCTGTAAGCTTCACAGTACTCGAGCAACCCGGGTTCGATCCCCGCCGGCACCAATGAAATTGTTAATTGCAATTTTAAGTGCTGATTTACCACGTGCTCGGCGGTGAAGGAAAACATCGTGAGGAAACCTGCATGTTTGAGAAATAAAAAAAAATATTTCGATGACATGTGAAGTTCGCCAACACGTATTGGGGCAGCGCGGTGGACATTTCCTTGCCCTAAAACCCTCTCATATATCTCAATGCAGAAATGAGAGGAGGCCTGTGCCCAGCAGTGGGACGTAAATAGGCTGCAACTTTACTTAAAACTGAAAAAAAAGTTATTTGGTATTAGAGGGATTCTGGGTATAAAACAATATCATTATATCACTATCACGACATTAATTGCAATTTTGCTACTTTCAGTCTTGTTTTGTTGAATTGAATAATTAAATATTTCAATACCTCTGTATATATACCTTACAGGCTTGTAGCTTCGTCAGGCTCATGGACGTAAATTATTACAGTGAGTCTCAATACGATTCACCTGCGAAAAATCTTAACACCGCAATTCAGAAAAGGTTGTAATTTGTACAACGCCATCTATTACGTTCTTTGTGAGAAAACATCCTTTTTTAATTTAAGAAAAACATATTTTTACTGTGTTTTAAGTACTATAATAGAACGATACGAAATATATTATAATAGAACGTTTTTTTTACACACGAATCTTTTTATTACTATTTCTGGGATTTTGTGGCGCCATTAAACAAATTCGAACCTACATTTCAAAATAATAATCATAACTTTCGATAGAATTAATCAATTTCAATAAAACAAAGATTAAATGAACTTGATAATACGCTTTATGATTTTCTTAAGGATTTCATTGAAAAAAAAAGATATTTACTCAAAACGTCATGCGTCCATAAACAAACAGACAGACCGTCAGATAGTTCAATTCTAAAAGTTATAAAAATGTACTTATTTAATGATTTACAGTCCCCATAATGATTTTAGTCGCAAATTAATATACTATACAATATTCAGAAACAGACAACATGTTATTACCATTTTTATTATATGTATAGATTTAAGAGAGATGGCGCTGTTAACATCAATTCTAAAAATAAGAGATTAATTCAAACGATTGATACAATAAAAAACATAAAAGAACTTATAAATCAGTGCCTGCATAGTAAGCAAAAAAGAAAGTTTGATCCTCGCCGAAAAACGAAATTGTTAATAGCTCTTAAAATTTGATTTACCACATAGAGTACTCGGCGGTAAAAAAATAAAAAATAAATGAGATTGTCAACATGCAGTAGGGCAGCGTGTCATTAATATAAAGGTTAGAAGCAAATATGAAACTCAACTACAGGAATAAATTTTAACCTGCCTTTTTGTATCACATTTATGCCACACCACCATCTATCGATGAAATTGGTTAACTATTGTACTTTAGTTTAGATAATAAGGTTAATATATTTTGTATATATTTATTACGTTTTTTATGTAATACTTTTGTTTACTGCGTTTTAGATATAATTATATCATTATAGAACATTATTTTACATCATTTAATTATGATTTATAATATGATATTAATTTTAAAATGTACTTGATGACTCATCCAACGCCACTATTGAACAAATTCGTACCTATACTTAGTACCCATACTTCAGAATATTTGTCATAACTTTTGATGGAATTAATCAATTTTAATGAAATAAAGACTAAATGTAACCTGAATATACACTTAATAATTTTCTTAACTATTCTTATGATATAAATTAGTACTTTATACGTGATACGTTAACAAACAAACAGACAGACAGACAGACAGACAGACAGACAGAAAAATCTAAAAATGGTAGAAATGTATTTAATTACTTATTTTTAGTACCTCTCAATCACTCTTATTACAAAAATATAAAATGTACAGACATCTGCTATTTACACTTTTATTATATGTATAGATTAGCTGTTCCCCGCGACTTCGTCCGCGTGTAATTTGGATTTTTTTGCGAGGAACCCTAATTATTTTTCTAAAATAAAATCAGCCTAAGTTACTCCTTGTGACATCAGCTATCTGCCAGTGAAAGTCCCGTCAAAATCGGTCCAGCCGTATCGGAGAGTAGCCGGAACAAACAGACATTCAGACAGACAGACAAAAATTTTAAAACGTGTATTTATGTTATAAGTGCCGTTTATACTTTCATATGCATTTAATAAAACGCTGTAATTTTGACATTACAAACAGACACTTCAATTTTATTTATTTGTATGGATTGTATAGATATAGATTACGCGAAACCTAGCTAACTATTTTTTAACATTTTAATCTATATATTTTCGTAAAGTAACAGCTAATTCTATTAATTATCGCAAATTATGCAACTCACTTAACAATTTGACGCTAAAACTGAAACCCTTCATGAACTGCATTCCGGGCTTGGCTTCGAAGCGAACGAACATCCGGTTCACGTCCATGAATCGGTACCGACGCTCTGATCTGAGAGTGTATGAAAATATGAGACCCTCGTGTCCAGATGCATCGACGCCACCTGAAAATTGAAGTTAACTGAGATCCTAAATGTAAAAAGAATGTTGAAATCATTGACATCTTTTTTAATTAATGATATAACAATAATAATGTCCTCCAGACCGAATTTCTATCACGGCGGCCAGTCGCAATGGAGACTAGCCATCTGCGCAGGACAAGATTAAGTGCCCGAGTGTATGCGCAAGCACAGGTTGCACTCTTTATCCCTCACTCTCATAGCACGATGTGACGTTAATCCGACACGACCGGAAAGAGATCATACGCAGAACCAACGGCTCTAATAAATTCGATCTGAAGGACATTATTAATTTTATTGAAAAAAGAAACATAGGAGTATAAATGGTGAAATCGGCAACAAAGAAGTTAAGAAACGAAGCTGTTTGTAAAATAAATCAAATAAATTTTAGATTATGTGAAGAAATGGAGATGCATGTAATAATAAATATATTAATTACCTGGTTTCACTAGAAGATAATCTCCAAGATGTCCATTCACAGCAAAGTCTGTAATGTTAAACTCGATGCCTTCACCCTCGCCTTGGAAGATCCAGTCAATGATATTATTCGTTGGATAATTACTGGGATAATTAGGCGAAGTTACGACCACTGGCTCTTCGTTGATAGTTATGTGGACTGGAGCGATGTGCTTATCGAAATCTTCAGATTCAACGTTAAAATCTTTTTTGTGCTGGGCTTTAAATTCACCCATTACCCGCTCGTACTCAGATTCAGACAGATGGACATAATCTACACTTGAAGATGTAGAAGTACTTGTTTCTATTTTATTTTCACCTTGGCTATTTTCTTTGTCTACGACGGGGTTAGCAGTTGTCCCTTGGTCTATTATCTCAGCATCTGGGTTCTTAGTATCATCATTTGCTACTAAAGCGTCGTGAAGATATTCAATTGCATGAGATTCATTTTGTGCTTCTTTTTCTTCTGATTTGGTACCCTCAGGTAATGGGTTAGCTTCTTCCAGTGAAATATCAGTTTCGACTTTTTTCACTTGCTCAATCGGAGAAAATAGTGACTCAATGTTTTCGTCATCGATATTTTCGTAGTCGTCTCCCAAATCCTTTAAATTCTTATAAAGATCATCAATTTCCTCATTTCCATCATTTGAGGCGATGTCTTTATCATAGTTGCTGTTAATTTGATCCCAATTTTCTGATAACTTGTCCCAATTGTCTACAAGATCATCATACGCTTCATGGAAATTTTTTAGGTCGTCTTCATCTATTATGATTTTATCTAATTCTTGACTTTTTATTTCTTTATTTGGTTCGTTTTCTTCAATATTTTCATCTAGTTTATCATCAGTTGTTTCTAATATTTTCTTAGTTTCCTCAATAACATTATCTAAATTAGCCTGATCTTTTGGTAAAGGCTGCACTTGCAAGAAATCGTCATTTTCATCATCTTTTAAAATCTTTTCTGTTTCTAAAAATACTTTCTCATTTTCTGTTATTTTATTTTTATTGGAATTTTCCTTAGCAGTAGCAATATCGTCGGTATCAATGTCAAATGTTTTAATATTGTCAATGAGTTCTCTATCAAATTTCGATGTATCCTGATCATTCTTCTTATTAGATAAGTCTGCTTTTACTTCTTTATTGTCTTCTAGTGATTCTTTGATCCTATTTAAATCTGCAATATCTTCGGCTAAGTCATCGATAGACTGCAATTCACCTTCAATGTTTTCAAATTCTTTAGCTTTATCGTCAGTCAAGTCACCGATATTTTCTTCATCGTCTTCATCATCATCATCAACTTCAGATCTGTTATCTTCAAATTGGTAGTCTACTAAATTATCTTCCGAATCCGCATTTTTAGCGTTGACTTGAGCTTCGTTGTCATTTCTGTATTTTTCAATTTCTTCTGCTACTTTTCGATCATTTTCCTGGTCAATCTTTTGTACGTCAACAGTTGTTTTGTGTTCTGTTTCCAATTCTTGGGAAGGTTTGACTTCAGTATCAAGAATACCTAATTTTTCTAATTCGTCACTATACCATTCGTAATCGTTTTGCCAATAATCCGGAAAAGAAGACTCGTCATCGATTCGTATAGCTGCAACAACAAAAAAAAGGAATAAAAAATTTTATTCATTGTCGAATATTAACAGTGATGATAAGTATATATTTTAATTAGAATTGGAATTAAGGACTTGACAGGATTATCTACGAAGTGAATACTAAAAGAGCATTATAAAGATGCAAAAATATGTTTTTATCCCGCTATCGTTTAATATTGAAGTCTTACATTTATTCTTTCCAATATTAGCAGGATGTATCCTAAACGTTCACAACATTTTTTATATCTATAAATTTATCAGAAGCCTTAGTCTCTCGCTTGATTAAATAATATGTTCGATCCTGGCTGCCACTACTGAAATTGTTATTCAAAAGTTGCAGTGCTTCCTTACCACACATATGCAGTTAAGGAAAATATTTCTTGTGGAATTGAATGACGTTATTCCGGACCGATGCGACTTAGGAACCTTGAAGATAAAACCTACTCTTTTTTAAAAGACTGGCAACACATCCACTATTCCCCTGGTCTTGCAATAGTTCATGGGTGGCGGTAGTCATTTCCCATCAGGTGAGCCGTATGCTCGTTTGCCCCCTCTTCTATAAAATAATGCCTCCCTGGAAAACGGAAATATTTTGTATACATGTGAAGCTTTAGAAAACCTCTTAAAATGCGAAGATGCCTGATCTTAGCTGTGGGATGTATGAAGGCTTTATTTAACTAGACATTTCCTACCAAAATGACTAAGATTTCTATTTCATAGAAAAATGAAAAAGAGAATTACGTAAATCGCTAAATAAAGCATGGAGAGAATATATTTTTGTACAGAAATATATTCTCTCCATACAGGAAACAGAGACTAATATTGCACGCTTCATAACACTTCGCGTTATTAGGAGTGCTTTACTCTCGACACATCAAGGTCAAGCAATTTTATGTTCTTAAAATGCCTCTATTATAACCATTTTGCAATTATACGATAATATGAGTAGGCGTATATCAAGAACAAACTCTAATTAATCAATCTTATATGCATTTTCTAAAAAATCATTTTATATTACTACTTTGAGAAGAAACAGTTTTTACCCAAATTTTCCCGGTAGGTAACATTATCTGTTAAAATAATAGAGCGCTAAATTTAAAACACGTAAATAATATATTTTAAAAGTCAGGAAAATTAAAAGTTTCATCAAAATTAAACGAAAGGCTCATGAGGCGTGCACTTTTGGATTTTCCAAGATTCCAAGATCTTAATTTCAAATTATTCAGTCAAGAAATTATCAGTAGCAGTTCAGAGTCGACGGTGTTTCATCTCTGTACCTTGGAAAGCACGTAAAGCCGTTGGTCCTACGCCTGATCTCTCTCCGGTCGTGTCGGTTTACCGTCCCATCGGACTTTGAGAGCGAGGGAATAGAGAATGCACCTGTGCTTGCGCATACCCTTGGGCGCTATAATCCTGTCCTGCGCAGTTGGCTAGTCTCCGTTGAGACTTGCCGCCGTGACCGAAACTCGGTCTGGAGTATATTATTATTATTAACCAGAAAATGTCTATTCACTCTTGCCTTACTTTCTCATGTTACTGTTGACTTTTTTATAGGATAAAGGTGACAAAGGAACATACAGTCTACCTAGTGGTAAGTGGTTGCTGTGGCTCATAGAGATCTACATCTATCCTCGATTAAGAATCAAAATGTAGACGCCTTGTCACTCTAGAGGAGAAAGGAATGCCACGGTTCCAGTAAAAATGATCATCGGTTCTCTACCTCAAGTGAATGTAAATGAATGTAACAAATCTATTTAATTACGCTGCATATACATACTCGTATACATTGATAATATCATTATATAAATTTTGCTTCGTATAATAATTATTATCGATATGAAATATTGTTGACATTTATTATAATTAAATTATTTCATGTTGTGTCACATTAATTAGTGGTATATCTAGTACTTAAAGTGACACAACATGCAATAATTGTAATAACTTATTAATTATCTGTTATATCTATTCTTGTTTTTATTTTTTTATATTTTGTACACAAACTATGGTCAAGCATAAAGTTGTAAAGTTACAGCCTATTTACGTCCCACTGCTGGGCACAGGTCTCCTCTCATTTCTGAGAGGGTTTTAGGGCAAGGAAATGTCCGTTGCGCTGCCCCAATGCGTGTTGGCGAACTTCACATGTCTTCGAAAAATTTTTTTCTTATTTCTAAGACATGCAGGTTTCCTCACGATGTTTTCCTTCACCGCCGAGCACGTGGTAAATCAGCACTTAAAATTACAATTAACAATTTCATTGGTAGCGGCGGGGATCGAACCCGGGTTGCTCGAGTACTGTGAAGCTTACAGCGAGCGCTAACCATCTGAGCTACCACGGCATGGTCAAGCATGTTGAACCAAAATTACAATTTTCATACAAAAAAATACTTTAAATGGATTACTATCTATACATGTTTTCAATAAATATATCTTTGTCTTTGTCTACATCATACGAAATACTGCTATTTTACGCTGGTATTCTGTGAGAGCGCGGTCCATCCCTGTCGAGCCGACCCATTCATGCTACAATTATATAGCTGCGGAATGGCCTATCACGTACTAAACTAAGATAGAATATCACGTTACACATACAAGTGGTGTCTGGTACTCGTCTCTCACCATATGAGAAACAGCATTGTTCTGTAAAATCACACTGATATTCTTTCTCTTCTGAGTTGGTCAATAAGGCCTCATAATTTTACGAGCACCAGATGACGCTAGTTGGTAGTGAGGTGAATTTATTTGTTACACAAGGTCATTTTAATTAAGAAATTTGGTTTAAATAAAGCTTTATCAACCACCGACGTAAAAAGATGGGTGTTTGTTTGACAGTTATGTGTATGTGTATGTCTGTGACACCGTAGCTCTTAAACGGGTGAACCGATTTGGATTCGGTTTTTTTTTATTTAAAAGCAGGTTTTCTAGCGGTGGTTCTTAGACATGTTGTATTAAAATCGGTTCAGCAGTTTTGAGGTCATCAGCTGATTTGTTACAATTGATCAATTTTCAATTTAAGTTATCGGTTTTTTGTGTGTAACTACACAAAACAATGCCTCAATAGTGCTTATTAATTTTTACTCTTTTTAATTTTCCTACTTTAAATATTTCAGAACGAAACATGAACCCTAACATTTTCTGAACAAATTAACTTCCCCCGCTATGAAAGCTGTCAAACATTTCACGTCATTCCTCACTGGTGGAAGTAAAATTCGTGGCCTCATTCGTGCAGCCATAATGCGCTTAGGTGCACCACGTAGAAAATGGTAAAGAAAAGCTATAGAATTTATATTTAGAACAGTGTCATCGTGGAAGTACTTGTCTGTGGTCCATATCCTCACCTTTTGACCCCAGATAAACTGTCATCGATATTTGCATAACGCTTAATATTCCACAAAATTGTCTCGTATGGCGAGAAATAATAAGAGCATTCAGTCACAGCTTAAATAATTAGTACCTACAAGAAATTTCGTTAAACAGAGCGCAGCCGTACATAGTTGAGTGCAAGCGGGGTAAGGAATAGGGGGGCATTACAAAACTTAGTTTTAACCGGTTAATTGTTACTACTTAAACCTAAATTTGTAAAAAACGGTATCTTACAAAAAACGGTAAATACCAGTAAATAACAACCTTTAACCGAAATCTATTTCGGTTTGGTGTCAACGATCGAAACCGTTTAAGATTTTGAACCGGTTCCCGAGCCCTAACATTCATGACTTTTTCTTCCACCAAGGCGGCACCACTTTAGAATGAGGTGTAATACTTGATCTTGATTGATCATCATTTTTGATTGAGCTACTTGACAGATTTCATGGCGGGGGAAGGTCATTCTTTTTATAGTATAGGGTGACAAACGAGCACACAGTCCACCTGATGATAAGTGGTTGCTGTGGACCATAGACATCTACATCTATCCTCATTTGCGAATCAAAATGCAGATGCGTTGTCACCCGTGAGGACTAAGATGGAATGCCTCTTTTCCAGTAAAAAGGGTGTCCAGTTCTCTACACTCACCATACGAAACACAGCACTGTTAAGCTGCTATTTTACGCTGGTATTCTTTGAAGCGTGGTCCTCGGTCGAGCCGACCCATTCGTGCTACAACTATACTACTAATATAGCTGCAACATGGCTCTACCACGTATAATAATTTTAAATTTCTTGGAAAAGTGTAAACAATAATATTTCTTTCTGAAATACTATTTATATTTTATATTAATCAGATTAGATTTACGTGATAGAGCCACGCTGCAGATATATTATGGTTGTAGCACGAACGGGTCTGCTCGATTGGGGAGGGACGATGATTGAGGAACGTTGTTTGCGCTATCTGGTGTTAGTTATGCTTACATTAAATTCCAGGGTTATATTTCATTTTTTGCGTGGTCTGTGTGTCATCACATCACTCGGTGATGTCACACAGACCACGCAAGATTATTAATAGGAGTGACTTCGGCACTATGATAACATGTATGACGAACGCGATTAGGGAAGTTGGAACAGATTCGTAATACATTAACTAGTCACCTATTTAGGTCAGCTAATCAAAGAGTAACACTCCCGCATGGTTTGTCCAAACCCGGTCTCGAGATTAAATGTAAGAAATTGAACATATTACTTTACGTGGTAGAGCCATGCTACAGCTATATTACCACGCTCTCACAGAATAGCAGCGTGAAATAGGCAGCTTAACGCTGCTGTGTTTCGTGTGGTGAGAGTAGAGAACCGGAGAAGCTTTTTAGTTGGAAATGAGGCATTCCATCTTAGTCCTCACGGCTGACAACGCATCTTCATTTCGATTCGCAAACGAGGATGGATGTAGATGTCTAAGGGCCACAGCAACCACTTACCATCAGGTGGACTGTGTGCTCCATATCCTATAAAAGAACCTGCCTACTATTAAGCTCAGGGGATATTTGCGTGCTATACAGACAGTCCCTGGATGAATCTGTCTGAGTCTCTGTCTGTCTGTGTGACCGGGTCATGATGATGTTCTAAA